TATATATAAATATTTTTATTATCGAAATAATATTTTCAAATTATATTTTTTAAGTTATTAATATATAGAAATAGTTCAATAAGAAAATTTTATTATTTTATGCTATATGATATAATTATATGTATCTATATTCTATTTAATATTTATATTAATTCATTTATAATAATTCATCTTTTAATATTTTTAATCGAATATTTTAATCGAATCTTTAAAATCTTATTATAATGAAATATCTATTATATAATAAATTTAGTTAGATTTATATTCAAGAAAAATTATTAAATCAAGATTATGAAAATATTTTCAAATAAATTCATATATATATATATATCATTATAAAGAGTAATTTTTACAATCAATTTATGAATGCTATCACCTTCATAGAAATCTAATAATAATTATAAGAATTTAATCTAAATATAAATTCTTCTAATTAGAATATTGTATTCATTCCAAATATTTCTCTAATTTTTGTTAGGTCCCGAACGAATATTCTATCTCGTAATATATATCATATTGTGTTACCAATCGTATCGATGCCACCTTCCACTACTAATCACTACTAATCTTCCCTGCCAACCCGGGCCCTGTTTCTGTGTTGCATCTCGCTTTGGATGTCTTGAGTGTGTGAAGGCGTGGGGCCGAGAGAAGTCTGTGCTGTTTGAATGAATCGTACTGGATGCAGCTTTGATCCTCAAGCTAATGAAGCTCTACTTCCACTCAAGACGAGGAGGGATGCAGGGCCATCTGCTGGAGAATGAAGAGAACCTGTCAAGGCTTCGAGATTCTGTCACATGTAGCTTCAGGGCGCATGTCTTACCTGCAATCTCTCAGCCCTCTCAGGAACTGAGCCGAAACGAGGCTTTCCAGCTGTTTCTGAAAACATGCCAGTTCAAGCCCAGGCATGGAGCAAGATAACATAGGTGAAGAAAGTGAGGCGTGCTGCAGGCACCTCCGTTTTGGCACAAAACAGTCAAGGTCGCCCGAGACTGACTCAAACTAAGGGTGGCAAGATGAGATAAGCTCCGAACCGTGTTCAGCGTCCGCAGCACTAATTTCAAAGGCTCATCAGCACTGCGGAGCCTGAGCTGTTTCCCATGTCGGATTGCCTAGATGTTTGCCTGACCGGCCTGGATCAGTTCGCTTCAAAGGGTCCAACACACAAACGAACAAACACGCCCGCGTCGGACATGCTCCCAAAACGCAGACTCTCTAGTTTGGGTGTCAGGGCCCTCACCAGCTCGGCGCAGCCAGGGGCAGTGACCGCATAAGCCGAGATGGCGCGGCCTGCGTAATTCGAACCTCCTGAGCCCTCCTAGTCCTACCCTTGACGGCATACCCGGCCTTTGCCGCAGCACCTGTCTTCGCGGTGCCTGCCTGTGGTAAAGGGGCGGTCAATGCTGACTTGAAGGGCTGACAGCCAATGGAGCCTCGATGTCCTCCACCGCGGATGGAACCGCCTCCCACAAATGCAAATACGACGGAGGCGGGCCTTGCAAGGCTTAAGCGAGCCTCTGCACCCCAACTGGCACTTCGCAGCTCCACCTTGGCAGCTTGCAGACACCAAGAGCATCTGCACAATACTAAAGGCCAGCGTCGCAGTCTTTTCTCAGGCAGTCTCTGGCCATGCACAGCTGCAGAATGGATCGGTGGAAAAAAGAGGAGCCATGTCTCTCATCCCGGCGAAAGCGTTGCGCTGCTTTCGATTCTGATTCGAACAATCATGTTTATGTTGGGTCAAATAGGAGACATGAGACAAGGCGAGAGCAATCCAGGCACTGGTCATAACTTTGTACCGCTGTGCTGCGGATTACCCCGACCGATCCTAGCAGCAGCACGCCGAAAATTTTTATGTTCATAACTCACAGGGAGATGTTTCCATCGGACATCCCTTTTCATGACCGCGCTTTCTTGATCCGGAACTCGATCACATCACCATCCTGGACCTGCTCGGTTGTGCTTTCTATGGTCCCTACCGTAGGGGCACTAAGGACCCTAAACTATGGGAATTATGGTATATTCCTCATTATGGGTAATGCCGGATTCATATCATGTCGCGCCTTGTAGTCCTTGCCCTGCAGCCGTGCCACTCCCGCTTTGCGACATCTCAGCAGACCAAGAATGAAGGCACAGTGCATGTGTTAAGTCTCAGGTAATGAGAGTCGCGGTCGCTGCTTCAGTTCATGGTGTGTCGCAAATCAACGAGGGTGTCAGCTCTGCTGCAGCTAGGGAATAGTCGCTTTGCTTTGGGCATGCTACTGAGATGAATGGCTGGCTTCTTGGATCTGACTCACACCCGTACTCTACAGCTCAGGACCTTGCACAATCCATGCACGCCCAGCTTAGCTGAAGACTTTTCTTTGCTGCCGTGCTTGACCAGGTCGTCGTAGGACCTGGCCATTGTCACAGCCTGTGAGCATCCGTCACGAGACTTGAAGGTGCAAGCACGCTCGGTGATACCAGATCTCTGCTTGCTCAAAGTTCTTGGTGAAGTCGGAGTGGATCGCACCGGCTGCCTACTGTAGCAGATTGACGCGCACAGAGCTCACCAGAAGCAGTTGTCTGAAGCAGAAACTTCGGCTGTCTTCATGACATCGTCGAGGCCGCTCTGCGCTTGTTTCGCCCTGGACTCTGAATCTCAACCTGTGCTAAACTCTGAACAGTCAACATCCATGAACTGTCATCTTTCTACTAGAACGATGAGAGTTGCTGTTGCTAGTCGCTGCTGCTACCCTTATCGGCAGTTACTACCATGGCTATTCTGACCACTTTTCTTCTTCTCCTTCCCACCATCAGTCTTCTACGAGTCTGAGTATTCGGGCCACAATTTCGAAACATGAGCGGGAACCATCACAGTCATTGTACATCATCACGGCTGCTTGAAAGGGTCACCTCGGTCAGTATTGCTATTGCTGTTGATCATATCGTTCCTGGTTCATTAGTAGCAACGGTCGTCATCGCGGTCGTAATGGAAAGTCGCAGAAGTACCAGAAGGAGTGGTGGCAGTGGTAGAACACAGTACGGTGCAGTACCGTACAGTATTTTCTAGTAGTAGCGGTATGAGGAGGTCGAGTGGTGGCAGCAGAATCACGGGGAGAAGTATTGGTAGTGGCAGTAGACGTGGTTCTCGTAGTAGGCGTAGTAGTAGTCGTCGTCGTCGCAGCAGCTGTAGGAGTGGGTGTTGCTGCTGTTGATTCAGTGTGCCGCAACTCTCAGCAGTCTTCGGGAAATTGCTGCTGCTGGATTTTCTGGAGCCCTGCTGCTGCTACAGTTACAATCACAAAAATTACGTCCTCCACGACGACTACGACTACTCATCGGAAGAGTGATGAGAACATCTCCAGGTAGATTCGGGGCCTCGTGGGCACGGGAGCCCAGAGGCACGAACCAAGCCCTGGCCTGGCAACTTCAGGGTTCCATGTCTTTCCAGGGCTTCTGGGAACCGTTTAGGAAGGTACTGAGGGGCCCGAAGAAGCAAGATTCGACCTCCCTATCCCTTTCCAAGAAAACGGGGTACCTGGTCTCCGGCTCTCAGGGCTTTCAGATGAAGGAGTCATAGGAATGCGAATGCCTTCTCTGCGAACTGGCAAAGAAAACCACGAAGTCGTGGCGAACGGGCTTTTCTCGCCTCGAACCTGCTCGACTATGTTGCCGACTGTCCGCGAACGGGGTCCCAGAGTTGCAGAAACCGTGTTGGAATGGTCGAACAGGCCGTCCCGATCACTCTGTCGGGGGGGGGGGGCGGGGGCGGGAAAGACAAAAAACCCGCAAGCTGCTACCCGTCTTTACTCGAGAGGAAGTCAGCCGTCGGACAGGTTTTGTCCCAGAGTTGCACATGTGCATACAGCGCAAAAAATCGCAACACTGAGCAACACCGTCAGCAAGGAGTACACGCGTGGCACTTTCGATAATACCTGCTAGCTGCCAGCATTTTGTGAATCGATCTTGAAACCTCAAGGACCCCGTTGTTGTAGGATGATCTTGTGCTAATCTGGGACTCTTGGAATCTTGGAAGACTTGCGGGTAGGGCCGAGCCGGTGTGCGGACGAAGGTGTCTTGATGAAGCCTACAGAACCGAAGTGGTGAGTTTTTAGATGAGGGATGATCAGGGTAGTGCTTGGGGCTGCCTCAAGCCCGAGCAAGGCCGCAGATGTACTTAGCGCATCAAGTATGTACACGGTGAGGGTACATTTAGAATCTCGGGATAGCATCTGGACCTGCTCGTCCAATTGCACAAGGCATCTTCCGCTCGCACATATATATATATATAACCCTAAACCCTAAACCCTAAACCCACCTCCATCTCGCCGACGGTGAGGAAGGAGATCAGCTTCAGAAGGCTCTGACTCTCGGCCTGGATGAGGGCTCCAGCGACTCTTTCGAGGACCCGACATGATTTGGTGCTTTGGGTGCCCCGGCGAGGACTCGGCTCAAAGCCCTGGGCGAGTTGGTGTCGAGCCCGAAGGACTCCAGGTACTCTGCCTGAAAGTCCTGCGGTGCATGCAGTGCAGTGGCGCTGCGCTCGCGGAAGCGACACGCTCCGAGCTCAGCTGAGGCGCTTGAAGAGGGGAACTAGACCAAACAGACGCGATGTATCCGGTTCTGCTGCATCGGCTCGGTCAAAGACCGTGCAAGTTGCGCGTGACATTAATCCGTCCTTGTCATCCAACGCGGCAACTTCTGCTTCTAGTTGGGCAGACACCTGGCCGCAGATCTTGAGCAGCTGAGCGTTCGTACATACATGACTGACAAATCATGGAGCACGAGCCGCGTCCCCACACTTGAGAAGAGGGCCGCAAAAGCTAGGGCAAACCAAACGAAGCAGAGTTGATCGAGCTCGTGTGTCGTTGCGCGCATACTCGGCAGGGTGGGCGCAAGCATCTAGATGCACTCGGCCGAGTGAAGACGAAGGCAAGTGCCGAAATGCTTGAATCTATTGTGGGGTTCCTTATTATAGTTATGGAATAACTAAAGCAACAACAATGAACCAATTGCACAATCGCAATCCTGCAATTGCCATGTTGCTGAAGCAGACTGACCTTTAGGGAGGAGGGGGCGCCTGGAGGGCGGGGAGCCGCCCCAACTTTGCACACTGCCACAGCCACTCCCCTCCCAATCTATCATTCATAAATAACTAGTGTTGCGGACTAGGCACGACTATCCCCTGGGTCACTACTACTTAGGTGAATCGGCGACAACTCCCGCAGCTCCACAGAGCTAGCTCTTCGTGGCTTGTAGCTTTGATAGAGGTGCGGCTAAGTCTGTGGACCTGGCAGGACCTGGCCGGGCCTGCAGCTAGAGACTTCATGCTTAAAGGATCATGGGACTTAGTAAGTAGGGTTATGATTAGGGTAACTCTACTAATAATCCCAAGTAAGGGACGTATAACCTTATTTACAAAGTCCCATGATCAGAAGGGAAGGTTGAGAAATGCTCCGAACGGTTTCCCAATTCAGCCAGGACCACGATGATGAATCGGCTCGCTAGCCCGCCCAGTGCCTGCATGCTGTCATGGTGATGCAGCACACCTTGTCGACTGTCACAGGCCAGTACATGCCTGGGCATCAGTCTGCACATGCTCCGCCAAGCCTGAGACTCTTGCACAAACACTCTTCGCAGTCAGGGAGCTTGGCATGCAGGCCGGGATGCAGTTGGCTGTAGCAAGGCCACACACATTCGAAAGGAGACGAGCGGCGGGCCGTGAACTCGTTGCCACTTGCGGCGTCCTGCCAGCTGTCCCGGCTATGCACGTGGGCAGAACTGTGCCGGAATGAGTGCGCCGTCTGAGAAGACCTAAAGGTTCCATCAACACTCGACAGCTAAGTTTGAGGTGCTCCGCGGGTCCTCTGCGGCAACGTTGGCCAGGACTACCTTGGTGAGCAGTCAACGTCTGTGCCCCACAAGCACGCTGCGAACCTTCAATTCCGAACGTGCCTCAGCTCGGTTCTATGATTCGTGGTGGGCAATCTGCGTGAGAGGATTGGGACGTCCGATGCGAGGCTTGCAGTCGAACTGTGGCCGGGAGCCACGTCGCACTTGAAGAAGATACATTGCTCCAGCAGTCATGTCTCCAGCGCTGGGCTTTCGAGCTCCGTGCCGGTCATATGTGTTACACAACCTTGGCCCCCAAACCACTGGCTTCGCGGTGATCAGCTGCGCGAGGAAGTCGTCGCTGGGCGACCTTTCCAAGACGGTTGGAGCAAAGCCGTGCCACCCCCACGGCCCCCATGCCTCGCATGCCCGCCCGAAGTCCCGAGGGTCTCACAAGCAGTCTTCGTCCTGACGTGCGAGGGCCTTGGCCGAGGGCCGTATCGCAGCAAGCGTCCAACTCTTCTGACTAAGACTCGGCAGGCTGAGGCTGCAGCATAACGTGCTGGCTTGCCATCCTGGGCTAAACAGCGAGGGTCTTGCCTGGCTTGCCATGCTTGTTGATTCCGTGCACAGCCGCAATTCTGTCATGGGCCCTCTGTTCGGTAAGCACTACTGCGACTTGTAGTTTCTGACCATCACATTCGGATGGGTGGTACTGCATGGCACAGTGCTAGTGCTGAAGGCCCGTGCTTCGAGGCACTTCAAGATCTCCTCGTAGATAGCAAGCATCTTTGCCTTGGTAACCGTGCGAGTATTCGAGGCGGGCGTCGAACGTGTGAGCCGAGAAGCCAAACTAGAGTCGCAGATCCAGTCCCTGCGTCTAACTTGCGGCGCACGCAGGAGAAAAACAATGACATTGACGTGTGGTTGAAACCAGTCTGCATCCGGAGCCCAGAACAAACAGAACGACTCGAAGACACCAACCTGCAACACGCGACAAGTAGTACAACCAGGCCGGGACATCCAGCCGCAACAGCCCCGAAGAAGAAATAGTCGACGCCAGCTCGAAACAAGAAGGCTCCCTGCTTTACCACGAGAGCTTGGGTGAAATGTGGAAAGTCGAGGCTCCGGGAGCTTTGGAGCCTCGAAGCCCGGCCTCCCAACAAAAAACAGCTACAGCTAGGGGGGATGAACTTCCAAAACTTCAAAACGAGGCCTTGGAGAACCAAAACCCCAAAACTCACAAAGCCATCCGAAAGCCCAAAGCAAGAGAGCAGCTGGATCCGATCCAGTTGATGGCGCCGTCGTGGCCTGGAACACGCCCCAGGGTGTCGCTCAGTGCATCTTTTCGCTTCTGTAAGATCTACATGCTGCCCTGGCTCGTTACCTTCGTCGGGCAAGTGAGTTCAGTTTAGGGCCTGGACTTTCATGCTTCCAGTGACATTGAGCTCGGTTTCGTGATTGGGAGATGGCGATTGCATGACATGCCTTGCCATGCCGACATCAGCGGTAGGTGACAGAGCGACTGTGAAATCGGAAAGCTCTGATGCTCCTCTTGCCTGATGCCACACTGATTCTGCCAGGCTCGGTACATGCTGCACCAGCTGCCCTCCGTTGTGGAGACCACGGCGCACGTGTGTTGGTCAGTAGTCTGTAGCTTCGAGAAGGTGTTGACAGGTGTCTCAACGGTGTGGGTTGAAAAGCAAACAGAACTTGATGAAGTTCGTAGCAGCGGCAATTCGTTCGCCCTAAGATGCGTTGTTCAGCCGTCTTTTTCCAAGCCATTCATGATTTATCGTCAGCTTGGCCGTGCAGCTTTCAGTTCACAGTTCGGAGCTCAATCACCCCTTTCCGGTCTCATTGACTTCAAGTATGTTCTCCAAAGAGATAATCTGTATAGATGGATGGATAGATGCAGAGAGACAGAGTGGAGATGGCAGGACTGACTGCTGTCGCCTGCATGTGCAATCACATCGCAGTCTTCCCTAGACTTCTTCAACTCATGCCTGCCAGTGGTATAGATTGGAAGCTCAGGTCCCTGCCTTCTTCCGCAAAGCCGGGAGCCTTTTGGAAGCGTACCTGGGCTGATAAGAGGAAAGGCATCTGTGGATCTGTATGCGCAGGATGCACCGTGACCGTTTCGACAATCGTGAAGCAAAGCGATCATGTCGGCACGCAGTGCTTGGTCATGTGTGCAGGCTCTGCATCTGCCTTCGTGTCCTAACTCTGTCAGGTGGCAACTGGTATGACTCCAGCTCCCATACTGGCACCTTTGCAACCTCCCAGGCATCACGGCCCGAAAATCCCGAAGATTCCTGAACCATTCTGAAGCCTAGCAAGCTCTAGGGTTCGAAAGCATTCGGGCGAGGAGTGCTCCAGGTCTGCAATCACCAGCTCCTCGAGGATGGACTCGTACCTGGATGACTGGCGCGATTCGGAATCGGATGAACAATGCGGAATGCGGACAGATTGAACTTTTGGGAGGTTTCGTTTTTTGACCCGGCGTCGGTCTTGAAACAACAGGCTCGTGCAGCGGGCCAGCTGTGGCTGCAAGGACAGTGTATTCATGTCCTCTGTGAAAGGTGCTGAGCCCCTGGCTCCTTGACTGGGTCGATGTTGATGGGGTCCTGAAGTAGCAGTGACATTATTGACATTGCCTTCTCATGCTACTTCTGATCATCCGGCCACTCGTCGACTGCCTCAACGTGCACAACCTTCTGGTCACTGAAGCAGCGAACCACATGGAAGACCACCTGCACGGGTATCAATGATTTCTAGACCACGGAGAACCCGAACCATGCAAACTCCGTCCCTTCGCGTCAGGCAGGTGTGTTTCACTCACTGCAGCTTTCATGCGCAACTTGCAAGCCACCTGCACGCCGCGGATCTGGCTCAGGAAGGCATTGCCCATGCCCGCTCCAGTGCTGGCACCCTGCATAGAATATTCACTTGAAGCGTGGGCAACTTGCTGTGTTTGAGCTTAGGCCCTTTGCATGCCCGTGAGAAGATGAATGCTTTGTTCGTTAAAACATGTCTGCTGTCATGTGCGAAACCACGGTGCGACAGCTTGTATTGAAACTTGTACGATTCCCTTTGCATTCCCAGTACTGTCATTTCTACCACTGTGGGGTAAGATACGGTACCATCTTCAACCCAAGCTTCGTGCGACTGTGACACTCGCAGCACAATTCAAGCAGACTCTTTGGCCTTTTGTTTGTGTGTGTGTGTGGTCAACAACATGCGGGCGGAGGTGCGGAGCATGTGCCTAGCAAAATCCAACAACTTGCTGTCCGTCTTGCAACTTCAGAATCATCACCCAGGTCGGCAGTGCGTTGTATTCTATGTGGCTTACCCAGCTCGGACAGGCACAAGCCAATGCCTTGATCAGGCCGGCAATGTCTCGAATTTCCACTTGGCCAGGAACCTCATTCATGGAACCGCGTCCCTAGACTCTGTTTCGGTAAGGCAAGCCTGAGTGGCCGGCCGTTCGCTGAGACGAAAACAGCTCCGCCAAGCTATCCAGTCGAGAGTCCGGCACACCCACCTCCCGACAGCTTCACCCACCCGAAAGACTGATATGAGCAACATCAGCCCTTTGATAGCTTGCCCGTAGCAATCCCAGTCTGAAGTCAAGTTTGGGACTCATTCTCAGCACCTGTCGGCCCACACGTTTCGACGGCAGGCGCCAGACTCAAGTTGTTCCATGCAGCCCTCTGCTGCGCCTACCTAGACAATCATGCTGGGCTTTCGCCTACTCTAAGGGTTTAGGGTGTAGGGGCCTTAAAAATTAAGATAGGGTTTTGGGGGATATTACACGAAGGACCGGCCGGCACCTTGACGATGTTGGGCTCGATGGTGCAGAACGGGAAGTTCTCTGCTGCGGCTACCGCAGCACCTAGCGAGTGATCTCCGGTGGGAAGGGAGGGGCTCGGATTTCAGCAGCGCGCGTGACGAGACAACTTCCAGGAAGCTGGCCTGCAAAGGCATTGAAGAGGGAGGACTTCCCAACATTCGGGTAGCCCACCTTTGTCCGCAAATTGTCGAAGGCAGGAAGGGTTCTTTCGTTTGTGTGACATACAAAGTTGTCAAGGGTTTGTCGAAGATGCGACAACCCGCATACGTATCTTCGATGATCCCAAGTGCAAGCATCGCTTTGCTCGCACCTCTAAAGCTGAACACCGTGGTTCTAAGCCCATGGCCAGGCCGCACGCCCGGTTCAATCCTGTGCAACTGCACAACCAGAGCTGCAGCCATCGTTGAAGAGTGTGCTGGCATTCGAATCTTCGGGCAAAGGGGATCCATTATGGCGCTTGCTATGATTTTGGAGTTGATGCCGAATTTCTATCTGCATTCCCGTGCTGCTGAAGCAGGACGTGTCTCGTGATGTTGCAGCAGGAAAGGATGCGATGCCTCTGGTCTGTCCAACAAAGGCGTGTCGGAAGAACCACCTCGTTGCAGTTAAAGCCAAACATGTTCGATACTGTTGGCGATGTGACATGAGCGAGCCAGACGGGATCCATCCGCGCCGTGTATGCTTGATGGCAGACAGACAGTCTCAGGTGAAGACTGCTGTGGCTGCACCTTGGTCAGAGCACACGTTGAACGCAGTTTGGACAGCAGGCCCTGCACACTCCTGCGCAAAAGTCCGCATTGGCCGCACTCAGGATGGTGCAGTCGCATGTACCAGCCGAGGAAACATGGACAGCCAACGCCAATTTCTAGCAGGGGCTACTCCTCAGGCTACACGGTTGCACTGCCGAAATCTGCGCTGCTTTCATTCCATGTGAAAGGTGACCGGGAAACCATCAAAGCTGCGTTCCAGGGCAATGCGCCCGTGTCATCGGAGTTTAGCATGATAAGTACAGAAGCAACCCCGATTTGCTTATTGGCACCTAGCATCTTGTATATGCAAACGGTTCGTATATACATATAAAACGTGTATATATGTATATATGAATATAGATAGCTGGTACGTCTCCCTGACATACATACAGACAGCTTGACTTGTGCTTGTCTGTCCGTGTATCCGTATATCTCTCTGTCTACCGACCCACCCTCCCATCGGCTTTGTAGCTGGCTGTCCCATCTACAATCTAGTGTCGTGGCCCAAGCCGTGCTGGGAGCCCAAAGTGCAGGAGATTGCATAGAGACCGGCACGGGGGTGAGTGATGGTAGGCAAGGTGAACTTGCACTTCACGCCAAATACAGCAACAGGCAAAACTCTGCTAGCTGTGGGTGCCACAGAAAGCGCACCCTTCTCTGCCATGAGCTGCTCGCACCGCTTCTCCTGCAAGACATGAACTTCATTCACAGTATCTGCCAGCAGTGGGTGGCACCAATCACCGGCCATGCCCGTCCAAGCATTGTCAAGTCACGAGTTGCAGGGGCTACGGTCACAGTCAGGGGTTGAGCCAATTCGGCTGGTGGTCCTTCTCATCGCACTTCTGGCGAAGATACTGCACCTTCATCACTAGTTTGAATGCTTTCTTCGGCAGAATTCAAAAGCCTTCGAGAAAGTGTGAACGGATACAGTGTGCGCGCGCGGTGGGTGCCCGTTTTACTTTAGGAACAGGGGTGTAGAACAACTACTCCCCAAGTCGAAGATTCACGGCGCTCTACTCAGGCTTGGCCAGACCAAGGCAGAAATGCTGTTACGTTTGATCCTCACTTTCCGCACCTCATCTCTGTACCTCTCCATCCTGCTTTCAAAGTCCTGCTTCAGCCAGCGAGTTCGTGGGAGAGCAGGCTTGCAAACGTGACATTCCGCAGCTCCTTCTGTACGGCCTCAAGCACGGCCTCCTGGTGCGAGAACTCACACACGGCGCCGGAATATCATCGAAGCATAAACGCTGACTGTGCCACAGCTCTTACATGGGGTCGCTCACAGCTGCCGTGCCGCTGGGGCAATGCTGGTGCAGCAAAATTCCCCCTGCCTGTCCGGCCCCTTGTCTGGCCTCGAGTCCGGGGCTGCACATGTCAGGCTTTCGATGGTGGCGTATGGCCGACCCGAGCTGTTCAGGTGCAAACTGCGAAGCGCCGTTTTGTGTCAGGAAAGAGAGAGCGAAGCATGGGTGCATCGCCCCGGCGGAGGAACACTTCCAGCCGACCTTTGTTGTGGTCCTGGACCTTGGAAGATCTGAGAACTCTGCAAATGCGACAGGCAAACGAAATCAGAACTCGAAAGAAATGCACGGTGAGCAAACAACTATGGTCGGGGCTTTCGCTGGCAAACCGCAAGACAGTAGCAGCGAGAGTACAGCGTCCTGCTCGCAACGACTACAAGTAAGATCTTGGTGTTGTCGCAGCGAAATGAAGTTAAGCCAATTGACATTCACGGACGAAATCCCGCCTGCACGTCGCTGCCAGTGCCTTTCCGAGCTGGTTTGGACTTCCTCCCGCGCATCACAGGGGTGACAGGAATTCGTGCTTATGAGGTATCCGAGCAATGCTCGTAGCGCAGTAGCGGTAGCGCACTTCGTTGCTGTTAAGTTCTCAGCCAGGCCGCCCCCAGCCCGTGACGAGGATGAAGTTGCGGTCTCCGTAGTTCAAGAGAATCGGAAGGACCACCTGTGAGAGCCACCATCGAACTGCCAGCGTCGCCGCCTCGGAGTTACAATCGTGGAGATCCAGAATGTCCACGGCCTTTGCCAGCAGCCTAGGGTAAATCTGGTGCTCCTTCTCGGATGTTCTCATGCCTGCATCTCGTTCCCCAGCTGCAGTGAGCACAGCATTCACGCTGGCCGAATTCAGGTCCGTGCTGCGTGCAAAGAAGTGGAGGGCAAGCTGCCACTCCCCGCTTCGCGTGCATGCACCTATGGCTGCATTGTACGTATAAACATCTGGAGAAAAGTTGGCTTCGCAAATCTGATCGAAAATCTGGCATACCATCTGCCACTGACCGCCTTGGCCACAGGAACTGGCCACCGCATTGTAGCTGCAAAGGTCCACATCGACACCAGAGCACTCCATTTCGTCGAACAAGGCAAGCGAGAGTCTCCACTGATCTCCATGCTCGCAAGCACTCATGGCTGCTGTATAGCAAATGGTGCTGGGCTGAAGATGGGCTGGAGGCATAGCCGCGAGCAGATGCAGTGCCAAAGGCCAGTGCGCACCGCTTGCACATGCAGAGATGGCAGAGCCGTAGCTCACGATTGTAGGGGCGATGGCCGGCCGTAGGCCGAACAAGCCGAAGAACAAGGCCAGTGCTTGCTGCCAGTTGGAGTCCTTCTCGCAGGCACTCATCGTTGCATTGTAACTGATTGCCGTGGGCGTGACCGTCTCAGATGCCATGGACTCGAGCAGGGTCATTGCCATTGCGGAGCTTCCTGCACGCTCACACGCACTGATCGCCGCATTGTAGCTGTAAACGTCCCTGTCCAGCTGAGCCTGCACCATGCGAGTGAACAGAGCCAGTCCATGTTGCCAGTGCCCAGCCTTCGCGCAAGCGGAGATGGCCGCATTGTACGCCACCGTGTTGGGTGCGACATTTTCCGCCTCCCTTAGCAGAGCCAGTGCTAATTGCCACTCTGCGCCCTTCTCGCAAGCATTGATGGCGGCACCATAACTGTACACATTGGGAGACAGCTGCGCACGCTTCAGGTCCTCCGAAAAGTGCAGGGCGAGCTGCCAGTG